ACTCCAAATATGAGCAAGGGCCCATATTATTTTGTGAAGGTCATTTCCATGTCCAGCTAATACTTGAGAAAGGTCAGGCCTACTAGTTAGGTTAAGCAGTCAACCTCTGCCTTTTGGTCTTCTTTTAGGAATAAAAACTCTGTTGTAACAGGGTCTGGGGATGACCCCATCACATGTCTTAGAGGGAGAAACCCAGGGATAGCAGTCAGATTTCCCACATAGGAAAGAGTGTATCCCACATGCTGCAGACAAAAACAGGAAGTTCAGATTTGGTTAGGTTAAGGGGGAAGTAACTAAGTTTCCAACCCCAGTTGATACTGACACATGACATACAAACGGTTCTGCTGACACCCAGCACTTTATTAGTGAGACAACTCATCTTGGTCTGGTAGAGGGGAGGTTGGGATGGACAGTATCAGCGCCCATCTCAGGGGATTTTCTGGGGCATCAGGTGTTCCCCCATGCAAGTTTAGAGGTAACACTATCATGAATGAAACCCCCCCAGAGAGCAGCGCTATTACTGTCAGGCAGCTGGTGCAGGAGGGACCCCTTAGGATAGCAGGGCTTCTATGTCTGGCTCGATGTCGATGGTTGGAAAGCGACGGCTGTATCTGCGAACAGGCACACCATCAGGACCCACGAGGAACTTCTCAAAGTTCCACGCAATGTCATTGCGGCACACCGGGGACCAGGTAATTAACTTGGGGTCAGTCATGAGTGCAGTGGCGTCGTCGCTGGGCGCTGGCAGGGCTTCCCGCAGAAAGGCAAAGAGCGGGTGAGCCTTCGCACCATTCACCTCGCACTTCTCAAAGAGAGTGAAGTTGGGCTCAAACCCTCCGCCGGGTCGGACGTGCTTGAGGATATTCAGAATCTCTTCGTTCTTGGCATTTTCCTACAGGAGAGAAGGGTAAGCTAGACCCGGGGGCGCGAAGGGAGGGAAACATTCTCAGCCCAAAAACCAAGGGAATTTTTCCATTAATCACCAGGATTTCGTCCTTCTTGCACAACCCCAAGGCAGACCAGAATTTCCGCCTCTAGGAGTGGGAGAGGGCTAAGAGAGCAGGCGGTAGGTCTCTATGCGCACGCGCAGAACGGACAAGGTGCATCACCCACCTGCGTCTTTTACCCCCACGCCAGCACCTCCAATCACTACTTCACACCCACCCTTCGCCTCCCCAGCCAGGCGCACCTGATGCCCAAACTGGTTGCACGGGAAGCCAAGCACGACCAGGCCTCGGGGTCCAAGGCGCTGCTGCAGCTCGTTCATCTCTGTATAGTCCCGGACAGTGGTGCCTCAGAGGGACGCTACATTCTCAATGAGCAGCACCTTGCCCCGCAGGGAACCCAGGCTCACAGGCTCCCCGCCGGCCAGCGGGCGCGCCGAGAAGGCGTACACGGATTGGGCCGCAGCCGCTAGCCGAGCAGCACACATGGCGTCGGAGACCAAGAAGGGTGGAAGGAACTTCGGACCCGGACAGCTGGGGAACTCAGGCGGTGTCTCCTTTTAACTGCTGGGCGGTAGTCACGTGGCGCAAGCACTATTCAGGACTTGAGGGATCCGCCTCATCCGGTCATCTTCCCTCCCCGCAGGGCTTGGCCCCTCCTTTAGCCTGGCACAGGGGGAGGGCGCCAGGGTGGAACGCGGGCTCCGCCCAAGCTAAGAGGAGTAGCTGGCGCGTCTGGTCTGGCCCAGGCAATTTAGTACCAGCTAAGCGGCAGGCTTTTGGATTACCCCGTAGAGGGCCTTGGCCCTCAGGGGCTCTGAATTGTTTCTTAAAGAATTTTTTCTTTTTTAATTTTTATTTATTTATTTATTTTGCAGTTTTTGGCCGGGGCCCAGTTTGAACCCTCCACTTCCGGTATATGGGGCCGGCGCCCTACTCCTTTGAGCCACAGTCACCGCCCTCTTTATTTTTTATTTATTTATTTGCTCTGGTGTATGTGGCTGGCGCCCTAGCCGTGGAGCTACAGGCGCCGAGCCTATTTATTTATTTATTTTTGCAGTTTTTGGCCGGGGCCAGGTTTGAACCCGCCACCTCCAGCTATGGGGCCAGCGCCCTACTTTTTTGAGCCACAGGCGCCGCCCTCTATTTTATTTATTTTTTGAGACAAAGTCTCACTATGTCACCCTTGGTAGAGTGCTGTGGTGTCACACCTCACAGCGACCTCGAACTCTTGGGCTTAAGCGATTCTCTCCTCAACCTCTTGAGTAGGACTACAGGCGCACACCACAACGCCAGGCTATTTTTTTGTTGTTGCAGTTGTCATTGTTTTAGCTAGCCTGGGCTGGGTTCTAACCCGCCAGCCTTAGTGTATGTGGCCGGCATCCTACCCACTGAGCTACAGGCACCGCCTGTTTTTCTTGACAATCTCAAGCTGTCGCCCTGGGTAGAATGCTGTGGCGTCATAGCTCACAGCAACCTCCATCTCGGGGTCTTGCGATCCTTTTAACTCAGTTTTCCTATTTTTTAGTAGAGACAGGGTCTCAATTTTGCTCTGGTTGGTCTCAAAGTCGTGAGAGCAATCAATGCACTCGCCTGGGCCTTCCAGGGTGCTCAAAGGTTTTTCTTTCTTTTTGCAGTTTTTGGCCCGGGCTGGGTTTGAACCCACCAACTCTGGCATATGGGGCCAGCGCCCTACTCCTTTGAGCCAGAGGCACCGTCCAGGTTTTTCAATCAGGATGTGAGCTCTGCCCTAGGACACTTTTTTTTTTTTTTAAAGTTTTTGGCCGGGCCCCTACTCCTCTCAGCCACAGGCCCCGCCCAGGACTCTTGAGATAGCACAAACAGTCCTCTAATCCTATGCCACGTTACTGGCAGTTGGGTGGGCCGGGTGGAGCCAGGACTCAGGTCTCCCTTTCCTCCACCCTACCTGGGACAGCACAGCCCTTATGCAAGTTTTCTAACAGCTTAGTGCCCAGGAAGCTCTACCCAGGCCTCCTGCGGTGGAGACCAATAGCTCACTAGGGAAGAGGAAGCCCAGCTGCCAGATTCAGGGAGTACCACTTCAACTCAGCAGGCTGCCCTTCCCTTCCTACCCCTGGCAATCTGAATGTGGCACAGGATAATCATTTCAGTGTTCTTGGGAGGTGGTTAGTCCTGCTGACTCATGGTGGGTGGGGTGCAAGCTGGTAACTAGCACACTTTAGGAACCTCTCCAGGGTGAGCTAGGTAGGCCAAGAGGACTAAGTCTTTCCATCTTCCTGTCCTCAGTCCTGCAGAGAGCAACACAAACACCAGGATACAAAAGTTTAGAAAACTGCCTTTATTCTATTAGTTGGAAAAATTAACTGGTACAGAAAAAAGTTCAGTCAGCTGGAGAGAAGAGAGAAACTGAGTGCCACACATGAGAACAGGTGGCTCCTCTGGGATGGAACCTGCATACACTGAGGAGAAAGGTGTACTGTGAATTAGAGCCAGATGCTACAGTCCAGGTGAGACAGGTTATGCCACCTTCCAAAGTGTCTAACTGCCTCAAGTGTGAAACCAATTCCTATTAGCCCAGCTCTGGAGAGGGATACCGGGACATGTGGGACTGAACAGGGGTGATACGGCCATCTTTTATCAGAGAAAGTGACAAAACGGGAATTTTAAAAATCAATTTTCCATCTAACTTTATTTCCAAATACACTTTCTTTTTTTTTTTTAAAAAAAACCAATACACTTTCTTCAGGGATGACAAATATCAGTATTAGGAAATCCAATTATACAAAAAATACTACATCTAGTCTGGGGGTAGATATATTTATTTTTGGTAACATACATTAAGTGGCACTAATTACACAGTAACTATAAGGTAACTAACATGAAACCACAGAACTGTAACTCTGCCATAGCTGCATGGATCTGGGCCTTTCTGGCTGCTGAGCACATTTTCAAAAAACTGGATGTCCACCCCAGAGCTATGCCAATGAGATCTATTCAGGAGTAAAGCTCTGAAGTGGTGCAGAGTACCTTGCAGCTGACAGATGATAGGCAGAACATGTTAGTTATAAAGTAGTTACAGCCTAATTCACAAAAGTTACCAACTGTTTCTCTTTCTAGAAAGAAGCAAGAAGTTATTAAGAAATTCCTTGAATTAGCGCCTGGTGTGTCAGGTGGGAGTGCAGAAGAGGGGTGTTAGAGCAGTGTCAGAAGGACCCTGGTGGGCCAGACGAGTTGGACATCATTAATAATCATGGTTGGCTTCTAAATACTGGTAGCAAGATGACTTTTGATTTGTAATCTTAGGTAAATTATAGATAAATGAAAAAGGCCAGTAATCATACACTAAGATTAATAAACAGCACTTCAAAATTAACCGCTTAAGGGCTGTGCTTGCAGCAAGATTTCACAAGACAAGGCACCCAGATTTTTTCTTCCCACGTCTGGCTTGCAGAGCAGCTCTCGTAGCCATTTCAAAAACCTCCCTCACTCCATCTTTGGTCTTTGCTGAACACTCCATGTACCCAAAAGCACCAATCCTGTTTGCCATATCTCTTCCTTCTTCAGGTTTTACAGGCTCCTAGGAAAGAGAAAACAAGTGCTTTCAGCTAATGGTGTTATATACATATAGGAAACAAGTGCATTCAAATTCAGCTAATAGACTGTCTTTTAAGAAATGCCTAACTCCCAGATTTGAACTCTGTCTTATGAAATCCTAAAACTAATATGCACTGACTATCCCCACCCCCAAATATAAAAAACCTATTAAACCTGATCTTCTCTGGGAAATAGAAATAGGGAACAGGTCAAAAGCACCCTGGAAGGTAAAGGAAGAAATCAAGGACAAAATTTCTCAATCTATTGATTCAGGGCAAGCTCTTGGGTCTTTGTTATCTCTGCAGAGGACTGAATGCCCATGGAAGGAAATAGAGCCTGTCTTTGCTTGACATTCAGATAGAAAAAACTCAGAGAACATGGGTTTCAAGTCTCAACAATGAAGACCTCCACATTCCTCCTATAGTAAGGAAACCCTGCCCAAGATGCCACCTCTATCATAACTTTTTTTTTTTTTTTTTTTAAGAGACAGAGTCTCACTTTGTTGCCCTCAGAAGAGTGCCATGGAATCACAGCTCACAGCAACCTCCAACTCCTGGGCTTAGGTGATTATCTTGCCTCAGCCTCCCAAGTAGCTGGGACCTCAGGTGCCTGCCACAACGCCTGGCTATCTTTTTTGAAGTTTTGGCCAGGGCTGGCTTGAACCCACCAATCCTGGTATATGGGGCCAGGGTCCCACTCCTTGAACCACAGGCACACCCACCCAGCTATTTTTTGTTGCAGTTTAGCCGGTGCCCTACTCACTGAGCCACAGGCGCCGCCCATCTCATAACTTTTATAAAGGAATTAGGGCTTTTTGTCTGGATTTCTTGCTTTGAGGAGATATCTTTCAGTTTTCACTAATTTATCATTGGCCTTATATATACCAACTGGAGAAAGAAATAAAGAATCTGATAAGAGTTCCTGCATCTGAAGTACTATTGCTGGGATGGGTTCTTGTCAGGCTGGCAGTCCTTGGGGACATAGCACTAACTCCTAAGAGACATCCATCTGACAGGACTAAAGGGTTTTAGGGATCCTCTGTGCAGATTACTGTCAGTGAGAACCAGATAAAGAGATGGGCTTCTGGGCCTCTAAAACAACCTGGCCTGTGAAGGTTTGTGTAAAACTCCTCAAACGTCTCTAATCTTGGGACCCTGGTTCAAGAATGCTATAGAAAGTCACAGCCCTGCCCCAGACCATGCCTGCTTCATCTTGGCTAGCTCCCGCCTTGTGTGCTCATCATTCCGAAGATCCTTCTTGTTCCCAACCAGGATGATGGGCACATTGGGGCAGAAATGCTTGACTTCTGGGGTCCATTTTTCTGGGATGTTTTCTGAAAGAAGAAAAATGCACAGAATTTGGGGATACATAAAATTCTATCCCAAAGAATCTCCAAGAGCCCCAGGTAAATTGCAAACACAATTCCTGTTGTTTCAGAGGAATGCTGAATATTTAGCTGAACATTAATTTTTATTTTTTTTTGAGACGGAGCCTCAAGCTATCCCCCTGGGGGGAGTGCCATGGCCTCACAGCTCACAGCAACCTCCAAATCCTGGGCTCAAGCGAGTCTCCTGCCTCAGCCTCCCAAGTAGCTGGGCACCAAGTAGGTGCCTGCCACAGCGCCGGCCATTTTTTTGGTTGCAGCAATCATTGTTGTTTGGCGGGCCCGGGCTGGGGATTCGAACCCGCCACCTTAGGTGTATGTGGCTGGCACCTTAGCCGCTTGAGCCACAGGCGCTGAGCCAACATTAATTTTAAAACCACAGAAAAAGGCAAAATCTAACCCCCTTCCCTTAAACACAGAACCATTGGCTTTGAGTCCCATCTAGACTGTTGCTGAACGTCTCTTGAAGTGGGGCTGAAATAAGGTCTCTGGAAGAGCAAAGGATCCAGAACACAGGGTGGCTCTACAATAGTACCAACAGCCCCAGGATGCAGGCTCCCTAAAGGCCATCCCTGTCACTGCTGGCAGATGATTCTAATCCTAGCTTACTGAAAGGGCCCAGATGAAGTAGCAACTAGTCGGGGGTCCACACAGTCTCTTGCTACATTGCTCATGGTCTCTTAATAAGACCTCCATCCTGTGGATTACTGGTATCTCAAAGGGCTCAAGAGTGATTTTTGTAATGTTGAGAAACAAGCAAACTGTTCACTCTCTGACTTCAAGACAAATTACCAAAAGTCAGGGATTACTTAGAATATGGGAAGATGCTCTCTTCAGACTGAAAGACTGTTTCAGGTAGAGAAGCTACATGAGTTAAGTCAGGAAAATCTCTTACAGGCGGAACTCATACCTCAGTGGGTAGGGCACCAGCCACATATACTGAGGCTAGCAGGTTCAAACCTGGCTCAGGCCAGCTAAAACAACGACAACTGCAAAAACAACAATAACAACAACGAAAAACAGCCAAGCATTGTGGTGGGCACCTGTAGTCCCAGTTACAAAAAAATAAAAGAAAATAAAATCTCTTACAATTCACTGCTCCACTCTTCAGCATATAAATGGATATTGAAACCCTTCCTTTTCTATAGCAGCTACAGGGTCAATTATATCACTAAAGTGACAACTTGAAAGGGGCTGGAAGAAAGTGCAGTGTCCCAGTCCTCAAGGCAATAAATAATAAGAGCTAGCACAACTAACTGTGACATTTAACAGTCTCAAGCACTGACCCTTGCCCTCATCCTTGCATCCTGTGGTCAGTTTTTAGTTCAGCTGCCATAGTGATCCCTTTAAAAGATGAGATTACATTGGTCTCCTATTCAAACCTTAAAAGCTCCCATCTTATTCATGATGAAAAGAGAGGTCCCAACCCATCATTCAGATCTGCAACCCACAACCCCTCTGCTAAAGGTGCTCAAATTCCTTCCTTCTTCCTTAGTGACTTTCTGCCTGCCATTTCCCCTGCCTAGAAAGCTCTTTTATTAACTATCTGCATGGGCTCCAACACCTCCTTCAGGCCTCTGCTCAAAGGTCACCTTTTCAGTTAGACTGTCACTGATCATCTGATCTAAAACAGCACAGTAGCAATGTTCACCGCTACAAATGCTACTTATAACATATTGCTATTGGATTTATTGTTGTTTCCATCCTACCCCAGGAATTTGAGGCATGGAGCATTAAAATGAACTGTCTCACACTTTTTTTTGAGACAAGAGTCTCAATTTGTTGCCGTGGGTCAAGTGCTGTGGCATCACAGATCACAGCAACCCCAAACTCTTGGGTTCAAGCAATTCTCTTGCCTTAGTCTCCCCAAAAGCTGGGACTACAGGCATGCACCACAGTGTCCAGCTATTTTTTTAAGAGATGGGGGGTCTCAATATTGCTCAGCCTGATCTCCAACTTCTGAGCTCAAGCAATCCACCTACCTTGGCCTCCCAGAGTGTTAGGATTATAGGTGTGAGCTACCATGCCCCACTTATTTTCACTTTTTTTTTTTTTTTTATTGGGACAGAGCCTCAAGCTGTCCCCCTGGGTAGAGTGCTGTGGCATCGCAGCTCACAGCAACCTCTAACGCCTGGGCTCAAGTGAGTCTCCTGCCTCTGCCTCCCAATTAGCTGGACCAAAGGCGCCCGCCACAATGCCCGGCCATTTTTGGTTGCAGCCATCAT